TTACCACGGTGCAGCGTTCCTCTCCGCCCCAGCTGCTGGAGGCGACGCGGCCTTTACCTGGCGGCCAACCGTGCGGCCCGCGCCAACCCGCAAGTCCCCGCCAGGCTTCCGTGCCCCAGTAGCCGCCGCGCCTCGCGAAGCCATAAGCGATTCCGGCGGCGGGCCCAACCAGTCGGAACAGTCGCAGAGCAGCGAACGTGAGCAGCATGCGGAGCAGGAGCCGGAAGGGCCCGATGAGCAGGAGCTGCCGGCCGCCCACGGGGAGGGCGCGGAAGTGGCGCCAGCGCAGGAATGGGGGCATGGGCAAGAACAGGAACAGGCAACCACCCACCGCCACACTCCTCTGGCTGACACTACTTGCCCTGGCCCCTCCCTCCCTGGCAATGGCGCGAGCTCGAGCGCCGAGGAACAACCGCAGCGCGGCCGGAACGTTCCCCCAGCGCGTCTTCGTGGCAGCAGGTGGGCGCCCTGCCTAGCCTCTGTGACTGGCGACCTTCCAGTCTCCCCGCCGCCCCTGGGCCGAAACCTGGCCCGCAGCGACGCCGGCCGCGCTGGCGGGTCTGGTGGGCGGCAGACGGCAGGCGGCGGACGCAGCAGCAGCAGCCGCAGAAGCAGCAGCAGGCCTCGCGCCGAGGACCAGCCGCTGACCACCCCGCCCCTGGTAGCGGGCCCCGCCGCGCGTCACTGTCCAGAATCTTTTAGACCCAGACACGGGACAGCAGCTATATAAAGCCAAGATCGGCGGCACCCAGTGGGACCCCCCGGGGAGACACCTGGCGAGACGATAAAGCGGCTTCAGGTCACCCTGGGAGCGAGGTTCACGGGCGCCTGGCACGCGTTCGCCCAGCAGCACGCCATGTCTGGCAGCAAAGGCGCGCTCGACCCGCGGCGGCGCGACCAGCAGACGCGCGTCAATTTCCTGTCCTCCTTCCGCAGCCACAACTGTGACGTGCGGGCCATGGGCGACGCGCTGGACCTCGGCGTTGACTGGGCGCAGTTGCGGCTTCGGTACCTGGGTGGAAGTGGCGGCGCGGGCAGGGGTCGCCAAGCGGCGAAGGGCCACGCTGATCGCCGCGCACCCAGGAAGGACCAGAAACAGTGGAAGGTTGTCACCTAAAGCCGCGGGCGCGCCCGCCCTTGGTCCACCCTAATTCACTCTGGCTTCTCCTGGGTGTGGCAGCCTTCCAGCGGGCAGCCTTATGCAGCTTAGGTTCTGTACGGTCGCGACAGGGTCGAGTGTGGTCTATCCTATTTGGCTCCTGGCATTGCCAACAGGTCCACAGGTGTCACAGGTGGCACACTTCGGATGACTGTTGGTCGTGCGTCGCATCCGCTGGCGCCGCCTTCATTGTCCCGGTGTCACCCGCCACTGGCTGCGCACGAGCACCCTGGGTACATCTTTGGCATTGGGTGTGGTCCATCCTGCTCGGTTGCATTGCTATGTATTCACAGGTCTTGCTATGCTATGCATGGACCACGGTGCACATGATTGCTCCTGGGGCGTAGGTTTACCTACCTTTGAGGGGTCATTACTCGATCTGTCGGTGTGCGACGCTTCGGCTGGCGCCTCTTCAGATTTCGCGCCATTTTGGCAGCGCGTGCCAGGTTTGGCTAATTTGGTGCTCCCTGGGTTTCCCTGGGCCTTGCAGCTCTGCCCTGGGTTCAGCTCTCCTTCGGATCAGCCTCACCCTCGCCGCAGTTGCTGCTTGCTGCATCCGGCGCCGCCGCGGCCGCCTAGTCGCGCGCGTTAGCCGTCGGTAATTGATTGCTGTCGCGGCCCGACTTATTTCGCCCGCCGCCGGCGCGTTCGCCTGCGGCCGTATAAAAAAAAGTCCCCACCAGCCCATCCAGAAACGATGCCCAGGGGAGTTGAGGTGATCAGGGAAGTCGGGGAGCATGCAGAATAATAAACGGCGGGGGAAGCTGTCACGTACCCCAAGAGGGGGAGGATGGAGAAGGAATCCTCGTCGGAGGGGGGAGGAGGAGGAGGAGGAGGAGGAGGAGGAGGAGGAGGAGGAGGAGAATGAGGAGGAGGATGTGGATGGAGTAGGGAGAGGACGAGGAGGACGAGAAGGAGGGGAAGGAGCGGAGGGAGGAGAAGGAGGAGAAGGAGGAGGAGGAAGAGGGGGATGATAAATTGAAGAGGACGGCGAACCGAAGAGCCAGAAACGTCTTAAATGCATGTCGGAGATCCTCTTGAGGCTTCTTGGGGGTCTCTTGGGAGCCTCTTGGAGGCCTCTTGGGCGCCTCTTGGGCGCCTCTTGGGGCCGTCTGGGCGCCTCTTGGGGCGCTCTTGGGGCGCCCTTGGGGGCTGTAGGGGCGTTCTTGGGGCCATCTTGGAGGAGATCGATCAACAAGTGGGGTTCCCTAGTTAGCCTCCCCCCTCAGGAGCTCCAGACATCGCCTCTTGGGGCGCTCTTGGGGCGCTCTTGGAGCGCTCTTGGGCGCTCATGGGGCCGTCTTGGGGCTCTCTTGGGCCTCTCTTGGGGCCCTCTTGGACCATCTTGGAGCCATCTTGAGGCCTCGGATGGCCATCGGAAACGAAACGGGGAGAAAACAAACAACATTGATTTTCTTAAGGTTTTGGGACGATTTTGGCCTGTTCGGGGCCTCCTTGGGGAGCTCTTTGGCCACAAGGAGCCGTCTTGGGGCCGTCTTTGGGCGTCTTGGCACCATCTTAGGAGCCATCTCGAGCGATCTTGCGCTATCTTGAGCCATCTTGGAACTCATCTTGGGCTCTCTGACGCGCTCTTGAAGCCATCTTGGGGCCAAAAGAGCCGTCCGACCGCTCGCGAAACCCTCCGTCGAGGTCCAGGGGAGGGGGTAGGGGGAGGGGTAAACCCCTCCCCAAGGGGGAAGAGGGAGGGGTGGAAGAGGATCTGTTCTAGACCACCTACGCCCAGAGGGCTGGTGGGATTATCATCGTGTTCATTGCCGGCAACATTGCCGTCATCATCGTCATCATGCCTTGTTTTGCTTGCCAATGCCACTTCATACCAGCGAAGTATTCAGATACCAGTAGCGATCGTTGTTTTTGTTGTTACTACCACGTGTGCAGTTTCTTGAAGCATGAGCGTGTTGCCACAGACCAGCAAAACCAACGAACACCATAATGTTTCGTGGACGTAGATATTCAATACGATATAACCAATCACATACCCTCAAACAGTTTCAGTCCATCGCTGCAGCCAGAGGCACCGCCGAACCCATGCACCTTCATCCTCCTCCTCCTCCTCCTCCTCCTTCCTCTTCCTCCCGCCCATCCTGCTCATGCGTCACCTCCTCCTCCTCGTCGTCCTTCTCCTCCTCCAATGTGTTCAGTTCTCTAGCGCGATGAGGTAATTTGAAGAGTCCAGGTCTGATTTGACACTCGTCTGCGGATGGAGGAACAAACATTCTTGGACGAGATGGGTGGCGGGGTAGCTTGCCCTCCTGTCTGTCCCCCCTCTTCCCCCTTCCTTCTTCCCCCCCCTTCCTGCTCCCCTCTCCTGTCCTCCCTCCTTGCTTCTTCCTCCTCACCCTTTCTCCTTCCTTCCCATCCTTCCCTCTTCTCACTCCTCGCTCCACCAGTACTCGATCTGAGTGCTACTCTCTTATCTCTGCCGAAGACGTCCAGGATGTCGTGCGCCCCCCCTCCGCGTATTGTTTTCTACGCACAGGGTGGGTCCGAATGTTTTTTTCTTCTATCGGTCCTTTCAAAATGGTGCCCCCGCTGCAGCGTGGGCCTCATTTTAGGATCGGGGCTTTGCTCCCGTCGTTCAGAGTGGCGCTCTCGCCCCATCGCGGGCCATTTTCCTGGATCTGCCGCCATCCTCGTCGTTGTGGCCGCCCCTTTTCCTCTTCCGCGTTCCACTAGTCCTCCTGCTCCTCCCGCTCCTTCAATTCCAGTTCCTGCTGCTGTTCGTCCTCGGTTTTCTCCTTCCTCATCATCCTTTTTCTCTTGCTCATCCTCCTGCTGATCCTTCTCCTTCTCCTTCTCCTTCTCCTCCTCCTCCTATGTATGCAGCTTCCCGCAGCTTCGCGCTCCCGATTGCGCAGAACTTAATTTTTCTTGCCGTTCCAGGTCCGCTATGCCACTCGTCCGCGGATAGAGGAAAAGACAACGCAATGTGAAGGGAGGGGTGGGAGGGGTGGGATGTCAGATATGGCGGGAGCGCACCTGGCTTGTCCTTCCCCCCTCTCTCCTCCCTCTGCCCAGCCCTCTCCCCCCTCCTCCGCCCCCAGCGTCGTGCACGTATCAAAACGTGGAGCCCCAGAGGTCTGCACCCCTCCCCCAGGACCAGGCCTTCATCCTCGGCTCGTCTTGACGGCTCCTTGGGCCCAGTGAGGGTCCCCAGGTGCCGCCAAACAGCCAAACACTTCCGCTGTGCTCCGTGCACGACGCGAGGATGCCAGCGGGCTGGGCCAGGACGTGGACGGATCGCTCCAGAGCCCTCTGGAACGCTCTCGGAGCGTTCTGGATCATGGCTGGACCTAAACGCTTTTTTGCTGGACTCCGGCTGCGTTCTGTTTTTGGTTTTGGCAGCGAGGTGCAGGAAATTTGGTAGGGCGAGACGAACAACATAACGAACACAAAACGAAGAACAGCGATCAGGTCTCGCCCTGTTCCGGGGCGCTCTGAACTGGCCGCGGCGCCCGATACGACCTCCCGAGCCGCCAGAGTTCAGAGAACCCGATCCGTCCCGACCCGATTTTGCCCCTGTCCTGGCCTCGCCTTCTGCTACTCACCCGCCCGCCCTCCGCAGCCTCAGACGGGCGGGCGGGCGGGACAGGTCGTCGTCGTCGTCGTCGTCGTCGTCGTCGTCGTCATCGGCAGCGGTGGCGGCGGCGTCGTCGTCGCCGTCGCCGTCGCCGTCGCCGTCGCCGTCGTTGTCGCCGTCGCCATCGCCGTCGCCGTCGTCGCCGTCGTCGTCGTCGTCGTCGTCGTCGTCGTCGTCGTCGTCGTCGTCGCCGTGGTCGTCGCCGTCTTGCCGCAGCCCCCCTTCGGGCCGGCGCCGCAGGGCACCGACCTCGGGGTCGCCCGTGGCCCCCCACGCCGCGGCGAGGCCCGCCTCGGCGCCGCCTCGGGCGGGAGGAGGGCTCCTCCTCGGCGGCCAAGGGGGGAAATGCAGAAGGGGGGAGTCATACTCCTCCTCCTGCTGCATTCCTTTTCCTTATGTCGGCACGAACGAGATGGGTACGGAAAGAACGGGTACGATGCCCAAGAGCAGATCCGGTTCATTCTGAACAGGACCCGCTGTCCGCGCAGCCGCGGCCTGTGTCCATTTGAGACAGGAGGCAGCCTGCCCAACAGCGGCCGCTGTTGGTTTGGGACAACATTTGTTGTTGGGCATTGTACCCATTCTTTCCGTGCCCATTTCGGGCGTCCAAAGGGAGGAGGATGCAGAAGGGGGGAGTCATGCTTCTCCTCCTCCTCCTCCTCCTCCTCCTCCTGCTCCATTCCTTTTCCTTATAGCTTATCCCTGTCGCACCCCGGGTCCAGCTTTTAGGGCGGGCCGGGCTTTTCGCCTGAGACCCCCTCACCATATATGATTCTGAAGCTTACAAGTTGGCAACAGCTTCGCAGATGGAGGGCGGGTGGCTTTCAAAATTTGACTCTCGCCTCAGCGCCGCGTGCATTCGTTTTGAAACTTTGCCAGCGTTTCACGGATGGACGATCACGTGTTTTCAACATGTGGCTCTCGCCTTAGCGCCGCGCACATAGTTTTTTTCAACATTTGCAAGAGTTTCGCGGATGGAGGATCAACCCGTTTTCAACATGGTGGCTCTCGCCTTAGCGCCGCGCACATTCGTTCTGAACATGTGCAGGAATTTCACGGATCGAGGATCAACCCGTTGTCAAAACGTGGCTCTCGCTTTGGCGCCGCGCACACTCGTTCGACAAATTTGCAAGAGTTTTACGGGTTGAGGAGGGTTCCTTTTCAACATGTTGCTCTCGCCCTAGCGCCACGCACATTCGTTCATACACTTTATACCGTTGTTTTTCCGGAGCTTGCGCCGCGGAAATGTAACTCAAGACCGGCTTTTTCTTTGGGCACCTCCTCTGTGTGTGCAGGGAAAAAAACATTCGTTCATACACTTTGCAAGAGTTTCACGGATTCCCACGAGCAGCGAACCAGAAATGGTGTTTTTTGGAAGGGTCCAGGGTTTTGCGCGGGCGCGACAGTTACGTTGATTTGCGGTGTTGAAGTTCCAAGAACGGCGCTCTGGCACGACCCAGGATCGTCAAAACGCAACGGTCAGGTCAATTTTTTGGCATGCTTCCGGGTCTTCAAACGGTCGTCTTCCAACGAGGCAGATCCCTCAATGGAAACGAACCGCTGTAAGGGCCTATGAGGAGAGAGCTTGGAGGGAGGGTGTATTCCAACATCGTTGATGGCTCTTGGGTTTACACTGGTCCTCCTCCTCGTCCTGCTCCTCCTGCTCGCCTCGGACCACGGACGAGGCCCCTCGGGGGTTCAGGGCGAGGTTTCGAGGGGCTCTCGCGGGGGTCCTGGGGGCTTTCCAGCCTCGGAGTGCTCTGTCAGGTGGCTGCGCCTCGCCGAGAGCGTTCCGTGGGTGCCCCCCTGGTTCCCCGAGCGGCCGCCGAGGCGCGAGACATCCCCGCGTCGAGGAAAAAACACGACGGAAGTGTTTGTCTCATTTTTGGCGTCTGGAGCCCTCACCATGCCCTGGGATAGTGATCGAACGATTCGGACTGAAGAGCTGGTCCCTGCAGAGGGGTCCACACATCTGGGTCTGGGTAGCCACGTTGTGACACATTCACGACGGCGGAGGAGCAGGAAGAGGAGGAGGAGGAGAAGGAGGAGGAGGATGAGGAGGAGGAGGAGGAGGAGGAGGAGGAGGGACGGGAAGCAGAGGAGGAGGAGGAGGAGGAGGATGAGGAGGAGGAGGAGGAGGAGGGAGGAGGAGGAGGAGGAATAGGAGGAGGAGGAGTCGAGTTAACGAGGTCGAGCGAGTCAGGTTGGTCTGTCGATTCCCACCCTCCCTCCCACAACAGAAGGATCACATGTGGCACAGCTCGATATTGGGATTGGACCGCGCTGCCACCTCGCAAGCGGAAGGCGCTCGCGCGCGGCCCCGCTCCCGACGGCTTGGCGAAAGGAAAGGCCATCTGCGTGGGCCGCGTATGGTGCGGGAGAGCGGCACAGCCTCAGATGGGTGCGGCGAGGGCGAGGCAAGCGCACACTCCTCCTCCTCCTCCTCCTCCACCTCCTCCTCCTCCTCCCCCTCCTCCTCCTCCTCTTCGTCGTCCTCCTCCTCCTCCTCTGTCTGTCGCAGGCCGCGCGGCGCTCGCGGGCGAGACGGGCATTTGTTCCCGCTCTCGCGCGGCCCCGCTGCCGCCGCCGCTGCCGTGGGGGTCGCCCAACGAAGCCACGCGCCGCGCCCGCCGCGCGAGCGTGCGCCTTGTCGCCCTCGCCCTGGCTCCGTGCGCCTCTCCCTCGCGAGCGACGCTCGCGCGGCGGGCGCGGCGCGTGGCTTCGTTGGGCGACCCCCACGACAGCGGCGGCGGCAGCGGGGCCGCGCGAGAGCGGGAACAAATGCCCGCCTCGCCCGCGAGCGCCGCGCGGCCTGCGACAGACAGACAGAGGAGGAGGAGGAGGACGAAGAGGAGGAGGAGGAGGGGGAGGAGGAGGAGGTGGAGGAGGGGGAGGAGGAGGACCTCTCCCTTCAACTAATGCTGGTGGTGGTGGAAAACAGGCCCATCATTCTCGTCCGCACGCGCGTCGACGAAGAGGCGCACGGGACACGTGCGCCGCGCTCGCGCGGGGGCTCAGATCTCTACAGCACTTAGCGCGGTGCCGAGGGGGGGACGACATGTCGGCCTTGTGCGCGGGATGTGCATTTTTGTTTATTTATTTGTTGTTATTGTTGTTGGTGTCGTTATTGTTGCTGTTGTCGTTGTCGTTGTTGTTGTTGTTGTTGTTGTTGTTGTTGTTGAACATTATTTCTTCTTAAGAATAATTATTGTTGGGACCCCTGGTGCGCGCCCCCCCCGCCGCGCCTAGGCCGCAGCCACATTTTCATCATTTTCGTGAGGAAGTCTCAGGCAAAACGATGTGTACCAGATCCGGTTGTTTTGTTGTCCCCCGCTTTCCCTTGCAAAAAATAAGCTAAAGTGGACATTTCTTGTTCTAACATATCCAAACTTCAAGAATCCCTTGCAAAAAATAAGGTAAAGTGGACATTCGCGCGCGCAAGACGAAATCCTTCCAAAACCTTAGTTTTCGTAGCGATTTTAACATAAAAACATCAAAAAACCAATGGTTTTTCAAAAAAAAATTGTCAAAATTTCATCCCGCGCGCTCTTGCGGATTCGTAGGAAACCCAACACTTTTTAAACATTTCTGTCAAACGGGCTTTTGCGAGCAACTTTTTCGAACTTCTGCAACAACGGTTGCGCACCTGCCAGGGCCATCATCCCTGTCAAATAATACCATGCGGGACACATTCGTTTTTTCTTCGCGCGCGCACGCCGTCGTCGTCGGCCGCGGGGCCCTGAATAGTAGCCACGGTCGTCCGCATGCCACGAAGTGAAGTGTCCGAACGTCATAGGGCGGGAAGCTGGGTGTGGGTGGTGGCGAAGAGTCGTTTGGAAATTTGGTAGAGCTTGAACCGGCCCCCCCACAAAGTGGGGGTATTGCCCGCCTCCTATGAAAACCCTGGCACTGGTGAGAACGGAGTGTCCCCACGTGCTAGTAATTGTTGTTGTTGTTGTTGTTGTTGTTGTTGTTGTTGTTGTTGTGGTTGTGGTTGTGGTCGTGGTTGTTGCTGTTATTTTAGTTGTTGTTGTCATTGTTGTTTTTTTTTTTGTGGTTGTTCTTATGGTTATGGTTGTGGTTGTGGTTAATGTCGTTGTTGCTGCTGTTGCTGTTACTGTTGCGGTTGTTGTTGTTGTTGTTGTTGTTGTTGTTGTTGTTGTTGTTGTTGTTGTTGTTGTGGTTGTGGCTGTGGTTGTGGTTGTTGTTGCTGTTGCTGTTGCTGTTGCTGTTGCTGTTGTTGAACTCACTACTGAAGAATAATTGTTGTTGGCCCCCCTCCGGTGACCATTGAGTGCTTGCAATTGAAGTGCTTCCTCCTGGGCTCGCATCCTGTTTTTAATCAGGGTGCTTGGCCCCTGGAATACAACAACAACGGGTCCCGCCTGATATTCCCTCACAATTTAGCCAGGACCCCCGCTCCCGCCCGATAATTCCTCGCATGTTATTCATGAATCGCGCTCACGCTTGGGACTTCCTCACGCTTTATTAAGGGATCGCTTTCTCGGCGCTCTGGAGTGGCGCTCTCGCTGGAGAGTTGCTTGCAATGTACTAAAGAATGGTGCTCTTGCGTTGGAATTCCCCGCAGTTTACGCAAGCGTCGCGCTCCCGACATTCAGGAGGCACCCAGGAGTCGCGCTTACGCTGAAGACTCCCTCACATTTTATTTGGGAAGCGGGATCTCGCTGCCCTTCGTGGTCCCGTTGCAGCCCTTCGTGGCCAGCCCTTCGTGGCCCCTTCGCTGCCCGTCGTGGCCCCGTCGCAGCTCTTCGTGGCCCCTTCGCTGCCCTTCGTGGCCCCGTTGCAGTCCTTCGTGGCCCCCTCGCTGCCCTTCGTGGCCCCGTTGCAGCCCTTCGTGGCCCCCTCGCTGCCCGTCGTGGCCCCGTTGCTGCCCTTCGTGGCCCCGTTGCAGCCCTCTGTGGCCCCGTTGCAGCCCTTCGTGGCCCCGTCGTTGCCTTTCGTGGTCCCGTTGTACCCTTTCGTGGTCCCCTCGCTGCCCTTCGTGGCCCCGTTGCAGCCCTTCGTGGCCCCCTCGCTGCCCTTCGTGGCCCCATGTATGTACGCCCTTCGTGGCCCCCGCTTGTTCGCGCCCGTCGTGGCCCCATATGCATGCGCTTCGTGGCCCCGCTGTCGCCCTTCGTGGTCCCTTCGCTGCCCTTCGTGGCCCCCTCGCTGCCCTCAGTGGCCCCGTCCTTGCCCTCTGCGGCCCACTATACGTATGCCCTGCGTGGTCCCCGCTCGTTCGCGCCCGTCGCGGCCCCATATGCATGCCCTTCGTGGCTCCGCTGTCGCCCTTTGTGGCCCCCGCGCTGCCCTACGTGGCCCCATTTTTACCCTCAGTGGCCCCGTCCTTGCCCTCTGTGGCCCCGCATTATCTGCCCTTCGTGGTCCCCGGTCGTTCGCGCCCGTCGTGGCCCCATACGCATGCCCTTCGTGGCCCCGCTGTCGCTCTCGTTCTCGCTCTCGCTTTCGCTCGTCGTTGTTGTCGCCGCCGTCGTCGTCGTCGTCGTCGTCGTCGTCGTCATTGTCGTGGTCGGTGCCCTGGCCGTCCCTGTTGGGGACGGGTTGCCGCCGATCAGCGTTGCCGCTGGCCAGGCCGACGGTCCGCGGCCGCCCCGCCGCTTGCCGGGGCTTGGCCAGCATGGAAGAAGTATATCCCCCCCAAAACGGGTGCGATCGAAGACGAAGAGGACGGGTACCGAAGGCTTGAAATGTACATGTTGACGGACAGTCGAGCAGATAATAGCGAACAGTCTAAACATGATTGTTGTTGTTGTTGCTGCTCCTGTTGTTGCTGCTGCT